AGGCAAAGTATCCTTATACCAATTTCCAGGCATTTCTGTTTCTGTCTTCTAAAGGCCAATATCCTATGTGGTGCCTAAGGTTTGTTCTACACCTTTGCTGTTCATGCACCTGGATATCTCAAAAGATGGCCAACTAATCTGGAAGAAGCCTTCTGTTTTATACATAGAATTGGCACAACTGTTGTTTGAAGGTCTATTATTTGAAGCAAAACAGTCTCTCATGGAGGGTCGTTCAGTGCTGTTGCTTCTTTTGGGATTTTGCAGCCCCTGTTCACCTGCCTCTCCTTGGACCACCCTCCTAGGGGTTATATGGCTTATGAGTTTTACCCAAGTTGGAATAGATGGAAGCTACTTGAAACAGAAGTTACTTGCCAGAAACTAGTAGGGTCAGTGCTGTTATAGCTGTGATGGTCCAGGAATGTAGGAGAAGTGAGGGTTTTCTGTGATATCTTTTATCAGACCAACCATGTAGTTGGGAGACCTGTTGGACAAGCTTTTGCACATCAAGTGCCCTGTTAGAGGCAGACCCAGGTTGAGCTAAATATCAGAGCTATTTGCCACTAATGAGATTGCCTTGTCTACTTGTGGTTAGTAGCAGCTCTTTATAACACCTCTTCATTCCTTGTTCACAGCTCTCCTCCAAGAATGCTTGCATTTTCATGAAGGCTGGGTCTGCTTCTTTGTTAGACCTAAGGAAGAACAGCTGATGTCCAAAAGTTTGTCTAACAGCTTTTCCAACTTCACAACTGGTCCGTTAAAAGATATCACAAAAAATCCTTGACTCTTTGCCTGGCCCCGGACAGATACTACATTTAAAATGTGATTAACTGGTATTGACCTGTATTTCCTTACATCTGTGTCTAGGAGAATAATGCCTTCTGACTAGCTGTCTGTAAATATATACTCCCACTAATTGCTGACCCAGGATCCCAAGAGGTTTGTTAAACAAGACTCCAACACAAACTCCAAATGCAGCTTGGAGAGAAGAGAGAGAATAACTCTAGGGCAGCTGCCATTTTCTGGCAGGTATATGTAATAACTTTGTGGTTCATTCCTATCACAGTTTATTGAAATGCATGGCCAGCTGTTGCAACTTGTAGAGCTTTTTAAGACTCCTGCATGCTCCAGAGGCTAGGAGTGCCCCTCGGCTGGTCAGGACTCCCAGCCAGGTGACTGTACCACATGCTCCCCGAGCAGGAAACCCCATCAGCTGATTGGAGCTCCCAACTGGGGGAGCTCATTCTGTGCTCCTGAGGCTGGGAGCTATGATCAGCTGATGAGCTCTGATTAGCCCAGAATCAGGTTTCCCCTGCACTGGCAATATAGCACGTGTGGCATGGTAGGAAGCACAACTGTTGGGATCCCACATCAGATCCTATGCGCATTTACTTTAACGTCTGTCAGGGACCCCAGAAACTGCCATTCTTTGACAGTCCCCTCTGCCTAGTCATATTCCTTGCTCGTTTGTTTGAAGTCTCAAGACAATAAATCTGACATTATGAAAGAAAACTACGATGCCTTCTTCAACATCAGAATCCTCCATGGGGGTAGCTGGAACTAACCTGCAGCTAAATGCTAAGGGATACCAATCCCACCAGTATGAATATGCAGAGATGATGTTCTGAAAGAAGAGCATTAATAAGTAACCCCTCTCTATGATATTGGTATTATTAATTTAATAGAAAGGCACAGGTGGAATGAACTATCGGATGGCTGAAGATTGAATTTCTAAAAAGTCAAGCATCATCTTTTTGGTCTTTTTTCTTTCTGTATCCTGGCTTCCATAATTTTTCTACTTTCTCCAACCCTCTTTCCTTTCCCATAGGTCAGCAAGTCTTTTAACCACATAATATCTTTAATATAGTCTAAGCTGCATGTAGTGAGTGTATTTGACAATCAAAAATTGCCCAACATGTAGGGCAGCAGTTATTAACAAACCTGAAATTGGCTAGGTCCTGTCAGTTGGAGGCAAGGAGCCCAGAGTATTGTAACAAGAATTCCTGAGACGCTAACAGCTTAGTAAAGGCTGATGGCAAGCTCTGAGTAACAATATCAGGAGCATTTACAAGACAGGAAAAGTTGAGGGCATCTTAAATTTATAGGCATGCTTAAATTAGTTTAAGTAATGTCTTTAATACTGAAATCAAGATAATTAATAAATGGCTATTGCTTTTTCTGCAATTTAAATCCACGGGTGTCTTAAATGGCTTATTCTGTATACATTTTTAAAGCTCAATTAAAAATTGAACTTGGAAGTAGGCGGTGTGATTCTCTTACTATACAACATATGGCATCTATTCTAGGGACAGTTGGGAAAAAACGAGTGTGTTGAGGATGAGGAAATAGAAGGTTTAAAAATATTTTCATAAACACTTTTCCTTTGAACTGTTTTACAGATCCAATTTTAGTGGGATTTTTAAATCCCATTTCCCTTTCTTCATGTAAAATAATAGACTTTTGGTTGTAAACTAAAGGGCGTGAGAAATAGAGGCACCATGTTTGTTGCTAGCACAAAATATGAAACCTTAACGTGCAGGAGCCAACCCCAGTATCATGTTATCCATCAGAATAAACACAGCGGCAAGCTTACAATAACATTTTCTTCAGATTATGGTGATTAGGCAAATCACACACACACACACAGATTAGAAAACTGTATGACCAAACAGCTCTACAGTTGTGTGTCAGTATTTCTATAGGTCCCTGTAGGCTGACTAAGATAAGTTGATCTCAGGGTAAATTGCGATAAAGATGTGTTCTTTCTGATTGTTTGCTCTTACTACATTTTATGTTGCCTGCCCTAGAAATCACAAGCCCTTCAAGAGATTCCAAGAAGAAACCTGATTTTCCATTGAGAGTGTAAATCGTTATTTATGAATGCATAAGGCAAAAGTATCACAACAATATTACAAGTTAGGTGCTTATAAAAAATACCTGGTCTACATAACTAAAGGGATCAGCATACAAACAAAGTGAGTTTAGAAAAAGTAACACTTGTTTACATGCTTTTCAGCAGGTAAACAGGTGGTTGGTTTCACAGGAATTTGTTAATGTGTTAATGTTTATTCATATGAAGATGAATGTTTTCACCTATATTTGATTTCTTTGTAGATTTATCCACTTGCCACTCCCACCAATAAGACATACACTTTGCTCATTTATTGTTGCCTTTGTCAAGTTCATAACATATGTGGTTATAAGTTGTGCAATACATATTTTTCTCCCAAAATTAGGCATGTTGGTATTATACCTGCCAAATATTCTCCAAAAGCAAATGTTAAGCAATAGTTTTTAGACTATCTAGAGGTTCCTTGCTAAGCCCCAGGGCATTGCACTTGAAGAAATCATCTCCCTGCCCTCTCCACCGAACACCTAGGAGCTGAAGGTGGCGCCTAGATGGCTGTACTACTGCTGCTGGTGGTAAAAAAAAACAACTGATGGCACCTAATAGAGTTGTACAGTTCATCACAGCAATGCATAGACTGTAAGGCTGGAAGGGACCTCAGAAGATCATTGAGTCCTGCCCCCTGCACCAAGCAGGAAAGATAACTGGGGGTCAGGTGACCCCAGCAAGGTGACTGTCTAGTCTCCTCTTGAAGATTTCCAGGGTAGGTGATTGCACCACCTCTGGTGGGAGCTTATTCCACAGTCTGGACACCCTGACTGTGAAGAAGTTTTTCCTAACGTTGAACCTGAACCTATCTTCCAGGAGTTTGTGGCCATTACTCCTGGTTTTCCCCTCGGGTGCCCTGGTGAACAGTTGCTTGCCAAGCCCTTGATGTACTCCCCTAGTGTAGGTACAATCTCACCTCTTACACCAAAGATCAAAAAGTATTTTAAACATGCAACATGTTTTGCTTGCTCCTTATAAGCCATAATTTGTTACTTAGGTAACTGCTACCTGTGGTACCTATAACTGTCCAGACAGCTGTGTTTCAATCCCAGCATTAAAAACAAACAAAGTGTGTATTGCTGCTATAGACTTTCTAAAAACAAAGAGGTGTGAGCCAATCTTATTTATCTGCCTGACCGGAAGACACTCTGTGCCTTTATCCTGAGATTGTGGTTGAGTGCGACTCTTCTCTGTTTTGTCTTTTTTGGTTTATTATTCTTTCTCCCCCTCCTCTGTCCTGGATTTGGAGAGAGGTTCCACTCAGTTTGGACTCACTCACTGCACTGCACTGAGACAGAGCTTCCCCCTTTCTTCCCTCCTTCACCCCTGCCATGCTTCTTTGTCCCCAAGAAAATAAGACATTCTGGTCTCAAAGGCTGAGGGATGAATTGGCAGCATGAGCACCCCACTGGATTAGCCATCTTTTTGCAATTAACAAATGAGAGCTTCTTTCAAAAGTGCATATTCCATTGTCAGCCCTCCCACCTTATGACAGAAGGACATGTAAAACCAGAATGCTCTTCTACTTGCATGTAGCAACGTCTCATGTTTTGGTTGTCTTGCCATGATTGCAGTTTAGATGACTGTGTTTTAGATGTCAGCGATTCCCTTATACCAAACTAATGAAATGATTCTGAGTAGGGATATATCTTTTCCCTAGTTTATTACTTACTAACCAACCCCTGCTTTTGCCTATCTTGAAGGAAGCGAGCACATAAAAGAAGCAGCTAATCGGCACTTGCAGGTAGTGGGAATTCCAGTGTTGTCTGTATTCCAGGACAGCATTCTCAGAACAGCCTGGAAGCTGTTTTAAGGCTTGTCCTTAAAATATGCAACCCAAAGAGATTATCCAGTTAAATAAGGATAATCAATCATACAGGCCTGTTTTAGGAAATTAAAGCAAAACACAGCAGAAAAATTGCTAAATCAAGACTGAGTGGTTTAATTGCCCTGCAAAATTCAGTACTAGCTTTATCTGCAGGGTGGTATGGTTGGAAGCAGAAAAGGCCTTACTGATGGCTGACTTGTATCCAAGTCAAAATCAGATAAAATTATGGAAATTCAAAATGAAAATGAATTTTAAAAATAAAAATTAAAGAATACTTACATTCCTTGGTATTGGGAGGCGCCAACAAACATGAGTAGCAAACCATTCCGTATATGTTCCTGGGCCTGTTTTCCAACATGTAGTAACTACAATGAAGGGCAAGGCAGGAAAAATAACATAAATGAGTTGCAGTGAAGTACAGTTGAATAGCAACCAATTATTCTGAGATAAAATCATTTTTAAAAAACCTTTACAATCAATTCGATGACATCCGCTTTTGTTTTTTTTTAGCTGAATAGAGAGTCTTTCTTTTCTTCCCATCCCCCAGATAGGCAGTTAATCAGCCGTTAAGCCTACATAACAAGAAGTGATATTGTTGCCTAAAACAACATTATTCTGCCTGGTGAGTTTTTAAGCTGCAGTTTACAGCATGCTCCAAAATGAAGCTTTCTAAACAAGGACAGTATTTTTAAGCAGTAATTTTCCAGGCACAGCCACCAGTTGGATTTAGTTACTTAGTTATCTGTGTATGAGGCATAAAAATAATCTCCCCAACTAAAGAGGAAAAAATAGAAATTTAAATGAGCCACTAATAATGACTAGAAAAAAACTGCAGGAAAAGCTAGATTATGGGTTACACCAGGGGTCAGCAATCTATGGCCTGCAGGCCAGATCTGGCCCATAAGAAATGTATCTAGCAGGTGGCAGCTCAGGGAATCGACAGCATTGTCCAGCCACAGCAGCAGAAGAGGCGTCCTCAGGGGTCTAACTCCTGCAGAGTTCAGTTTATGCTCTCTGCTGCAGCAGAGGAGGTATCACAAGGGTCCTGATACGTGCCTTTTCTCTCAATTCCCTTCATAGCATCTGCTGATTACAAAGACAGTGTGGGGCTGCAGCCCACAGTAGGGGTTGGGTCATAAATAGTAGCCCACAGTGGCAAAAAGCTTGGCGTTGGTTTACACTATTCCACAAAGTTCAGTGTGGGCGATGGTTTATATATAGCCTCCAAGTGAGAGTTTTGATCTGTGTAAAGTCTGTTTGGATAACTGGGCAGCATATATAAAATAAATATGACTTTTTTTTTAGTTAATATGCCTTTATGTATCTAACTTTGTGTTGTAGTTCACTGGTCCAAATAGCTATTCCTGAATGTGTAAGTTTATCATATCTGTCCATGTATGTGAACATGACATTTTTCTGTAAACAGGTACACTCAGAAATTATTGTTGAAACTACTAAGCAAAGTTCAAAAATAGGCATTCTGGGATTTTTGTTAATAGTTCATGAAATGGCAAATGCCTGCTTGTTGTCATATCTTGTAGTTTAATTTTAAAGTTGCTGTTCTATAGCCAAAAGCTACTATAATGGTTCAACATAAAAAACCATATGGGTGACAACAGCCACACACACACACACACACACACACACACACACACACATGAGGCTTCATCAGCATTTGTACATGTGCTTGGGCAGGGAGGGGGCGCTTTAATTAGAGCAGCTCCAAGAGCCTCTCTAGGTAAAGCGCCCGGAGAGGCACATATTTCAGCATCCCTATGCTGAAAAATGGCAGTGGGGGTACTTTAACTAAAGCTCATTGACGAGATTTAGTTAAAGTGCCCTCATTGCCATTTTTCAGCGTAGGATCGCTGATACACATGACGCTGGAGTCCGCTGGGCTGTAATTACAGTGTGTCAGAGCAGCCTCACTGCACATGTATAGGCGCCCTATATGAGTGTTAGACAAAAAGGTACCAGAAACAAGTACTTTCAACAGTTAAGGTGAATTACCTTAAAATTTAGACATAACTATATAGCTTTCCTTATATAGTAAATAAATTACTTTTCCCCTGACCATTTGATGAAAAGTAATTAAAAGCTATGCAAACAGTTACTGTGCTGCTACTTTTATTATATAAAAGGAGAAGGAATAAGTAGCTTAGTGCTCCTGTTCAATTACCCATCCTAATCCTGAATATTTAGTGTTAAGAACAACACTAACCTGCCACCTGCTTAAGATTTTCAAATGTTTCTAAATTTTTTGGACTTGATGCAAACAACCCAAATGATCATACCTATGGCAAGCTCAGTCACAAATCACCCATGAGTAGAATGAGGTAGTTAACAGTTTTAGTCTGAAATTAGACAGACGGCAGGGCAGGGTGGCACCTTTATAGATTAACTGCTTTGGAGAGTCACAAGCTTTCATAGGCTATAATCTACTTTGTTAGATAATGATTTTATATTTCCTTTAGTCTGCCTCTATGCAGAATTACTTTTAAATAAGTGTAGTAGGCTTACAGTGTTGTTGTAGCCACGATGGTGCAGGAAATCTACAACAGGCAAGGATTTTTGGTGGTATCTCTTATTGGCCCAAATATTTAATTGGGAGAGACATTGAGGAAAGGCACTTTGTTCCCAAAAGCTTGTCTACCATTTCTTCCAATTCTATGGTTAGTCCAGCAAAAGATATCAACAGAAAATCTTTGACTGTTTAAAATCAATGTCTTCTAAAACAGATGGAAATTTTAATAGTGTCATTGTTTAAGGTCATCTCTCATATCTGGAGTAATATTGAGAGAGAAGTTTCAAAGAAACAGTAGTCCTTGTGTGTAGAAGATTGTCTCTTTACTAAGCATGGTGTTTTCAGTCATTAATTTGACTCTAGTTTTCTCATACTCAATTAAGCTTCTGTAAACCTGCATTTGGGAAGCCCATAATAAAAATACATTAAACAAAGTATCTTGAGACATGAAGGTGCCTTGAGCATATCCAAGTGAGTTGAGGTGTGTTATGTTGGAAATGTTTTGTTCCCTTTTTTTAAAGATTTACCCTTGCTCTTCTCTTTTTATGTACTTGTCTCCAGGTGACATCTCCACCCTTACCTCGAAAGAAAAGCTTCATATTTATTCTTTAGTGGGGTATCAATGCCACATAATAATGCACTGTGGAGCACATAATGAATAAACTGGGAATTACTGCCAAACCACAAATAAGAATGGCAGGCCAAAGATACATACAGCTCCATAAAGATAAATATGGGATAGTCTGGATTCAGAGCCTAAAGCCCCTGCGGTTTAAAAAAGATAAACAATCCTTCCTCCAGCTAATCAATTCAAGATGATGAAATATCTCTCATTTATTCACTGTGACATTGCATGAAAGCATATACTTTTGTTCTCAAAACAAGAACTGAGGAGGGTGCAAGAAGGCATGTAACTGCTCATTTATGTTTGAAGAAAGATCTCCAGTTGCATCAGAAGAAGGAGAAACTTCTTCATGATTCGAGTGCCCAGGGTCTGGAACAGACTCCCCCAGAGGCAGTGCGATCACCTACCCTGGAAATCTTTAAAAAATGACTTGACACGCATCTGACCCCAGCAGTCTTTCCTGCCCCAGTGCAGGGGAGCTGGACCTGATGATCTCATGAGGTCCCTTCCAGCCCCTAACATCTATGACTCTGTGGGCGCGTCCAGATGAGCATGCACGTGCCTCTTGCCCCACCTCAAACCTGTTTGAGACTGGGCAAGAGGCATGTGCAGGAATGAAAAAATGTTCCCCGCACTGCAAGTTTGCCACCGGCCCCACCTGTTCTCCCAGGCCCCTGATCCCTCCCCGGCCCCACCCCTACCTGTCCCCCTGAGACCCCCAATCGCTTCCCTGCCCAGCCCATTCTCCCG